CCTACAGCAGGGTCAGCTCCACAATCAACAGGCTTGGCACCAGCAGTCAGGAAATCGAAAGATAAATTGCACTGGGAAAATCTGCTGTCAGAACGTCTCCAGTGTACTGAGAAACAACGATGTCGATCTCGAGACTAAGGTGTGCTTGCTCGGGCTTGATTATCGTCTTCACAATTACTTACTATGTATCAGAGAGCAGGAAAATGACCAACGATGACAGAAGAATAGATGCCTTTGAGTTGTGGTGCTGGAGAAGAGTCTTGGACATGCTATCAACTGCCAAGAAAACAAATAGGTCTGTCTTGGAGAGGGTGACACCAAGTGTCTTCTTGAAGGTTAGGATTCTCTGTATCAAACACTTTGGGCACATGGACAGGAGGGACAAGAAGGACATCATGCTCAAAAGAGCAGACAGACAGCACAGCAGAGGAAGACTCCGGATGAGATGGATTGATACAGTAGCTGGAGCAATGGGAGTAGGTGTGTTGGAGTCAGTGAGACTGGCTCAGGACAGGGCAGGCTTCAGAGCTGTTGTACACAGGGTCGCAATGAGTCGCAGGCAACTTGACAGCACAAAACAACAACAACAAAATTCGCATGGGAGGAGATTGTCCATCTTGCTCCCTTGGAGCAGCCAGTGGATTTGAAGTGATTGGCCTTAGGTTGGTAGCACAACTCTTTAATCCCTACACATTATCCACAGAGACATAATACTGATTCATTCTCAAAACAGTTCCTGGTATACCCTGTACATTCATTGAGTCCTGGATCAACTACGAACCACAAATTCAAAACTCAAACCCAAATTTGCTGCAGTTGATTTGATTTCGACTCAAGGCAGCCTTTCAATTAGCACTGCTCACCTGATGGATTAGCCATGAGAGCAAGAAATGACTAAGTCAAAAAGACCAGAGTTTAGACTCTGTGCTACAGGTTTAGGGGTTTTGTGTTTTTGGTTTTTCTTTATGTGTACCATTGAATCAGACCCAACTGGCACAGGAGAAGATTGCCCCTCCTTCTCCAGCAGAGCATCTGGTGGATTCAAACTGTGCGCCTTCAGGATTGCAGTTCAGCTTCTTGCCACTAGGCCACCAGAGCTGCCTTGTGCTGCAGTTTTGAAGCATTTCCTCTATTATCTCTGAATGTTAGGAAGAACTTTATTTTTTTCCTTGAAAAAAAAAAGTTAGTTTATCTTAATCTGATAGATGTCCTGGGGCATTAAAACTGTCTTCTAATTACAGAGGCAGTCATTTACAACAGTTCTTGTGAAAATCTCTCTTGACAAGAATAGAAATGGTAGTGAGTATTTTTTTAAAAAGCACTAAATTGTGATTAAATCTTTATGCAAAGTGATTACTAATCATAATAACATAATGAATGTAGGATTTTTAAAAAAGAAGAAAGGAAAGAGTCCATTTGTGTAAGTAGGGTCATCTTTGGGTTTCCCAGAAATACAGGGATGTGTTGGGTTTGTTATATATAACACATATCTGGTGATAAGGAACTGTGCTACCAACACAAAGGTAGGCAGTTCAAATCCACCAGGTGCTCTGTGGAAGGAAGATAGCCAATCTCCTCTGATGCAATTTACTGCCTCTAAAAACCTGCTGAAGGGTAAGTTACTTTTATCTAAAGCAAAAGATAGGTAGTATTTGAGTTTGTTTTATTATTTTCATTTTAATGATTATATAGGTAGTTTTAATGATTGTCTTAATGAGGGAGCCATATGTGGAAGAAGACATTTTTACATTTCAATAGGAGATGATGTACATCATTGAGGTTTGATATGCAGTAAGACAGATCTGGTGGCCTTGTGGTAAGGAGCTGCACTGCAATTTTAAAGGCATGTGGTTCTAATCCACCAGCTGCTCCACAGGAGAAAGATGGGCAATCTCCTCCCATGTAATTTACTACCTCTGAAAACCTGCCGAGGGGCCAGCTATGAGTGGGTTCCAACTCGATGGTAGACAACAAGAAGACAGATTGAAGAGAAATGTCTAAATAAGAAACCCTGGGTGATAGAGTTAATGCATTCAATAGCTAACCACAGAGTTAACAGGTCAAGCTCAACAGAGACACCTCAGAAGAAAAGTCTGGTGATCTCCTTGCTAGAAACCACAGGAAATCCTATGGCACACAGCTCTACTATGATGCACACGGCATCATCAAGAGTCAGCATTTTCTCAACAGCGCCTGATGGGAAAGAAGCAATATTTTATACTTTCTGGAAAAGACTAACTGAATGGATAAAAAGAGAACTAGTGTAAGTAAAGTAGTGAGTGAAGAACTTTGAGAAAATAAAATGTGAAAGAGGGAGAATGAATTTACCTAGAGTCTTAAATGCAGAGCAGGGAATGTGTGTGGTGGCTTTGCCTTTCTGTTGCTGCATGGGTCATTACCTAGTGTTGCCAAGGACCTATCTGACTGTCCTTTAGATTTGTTCAATTTGAAAGACTGTACGTGATCAGTAACTGGAAAGTAAATAAGTTAGCAATTTATAAGCATTTATACATGCTCAGTTAAAATACTGTTGTTGTTGTTGTTGTTGTTGTATACTGTTGAGTCAGAACTGGCCCAGAGCGGATCCTCCGGTGGATTTTCAGAGGCAATTAATGGCCTGGAAGGAGATTGTCCATCCTTCTCCCACGGAGCAGCTGGTGGCCTCAAACCTTGTGCCTTTGGGATTGCAGCACAGCTTCTTGCCACTAGGCCACCAGAGCTCCCTCAGGAAACATATTAAGCACAGTTTTAGAGTTACATAATCAATTTTAATATAGTAGTTTAGAATTCTATTTTTCTTGGGCAATTAAAATTACAGTGCAGATTATGAGATTCATTGAGAAACTACTTTTACTTAAATAATAAGACCTAGGGATTAAGCAGTCTATCTATTTTAGAGATCTTTATAGTGAGAATTTTCTATAATCAATATTAGACTTTCCATACTAATCTGTACTTATTCTTTTCTTTTAATGAACTAATCTGTTCCTTATTCTTTTAAGGAAGTTATACTAGGTGGTATTAAAACATTCTCCTCATCACAGACATGGCATTCATACGATTTTGGAAATATTCATTCTTGGATTTTCAAAATGATGACATAAACCATCCTGTTGTCTATTGAAGAAATCCTGGTGGCATATTAATAATGGGAAGGGCTACTACCTGAAAGGTCATTGGTTCACACTCATCAGCTTCTCTAAGGGAGAGAGTTAATCAGTCTCCTCCCATAAAAGACTAGCAGCCTTAGGGACCCAGTGGAGGGCTACCACTCATGGCTCCAGCTCAGCTTGGTGGCAGTAGGTCTGGGTTTGGGTTAACTGTTGGTAATTTCCCACTTTCTTTCCTTAACAAAAACTCTAGTGATGTAGTCTATAAGAAGTTGTGCTGGTAACCCAAAGGTGATGCCTCTCTGGCACTTCCAATCCATGAGCAGTTCCATAGGAGAAGGATGGGCAGTCTCCTCCTGTGTGATTTACAGCCTCTGAAAACCCACTGGAGGATCCTTGATAAGTTGATGTCAACTCAATGGCAATGAGTGTGTTTTGAGACTGATCATTTACTATATTTTTCCAAGCTAAAGTTTATAATCTACCTCATGTTTCCCCCTTATGAAAAACAAAGTTTCTTCTTTTCTTGCTCCTCTTAAATGTCACAAATGTGTTATTATTGTGCTGCTTTCACTGTTGTTTTCATGGATACAAAGAAAGAAGAAAACTCTAACACAAGAGAAAGACTACATCCTGATTTAAGTGCTAGCACTGATGTTATTAATACTATGCTGTGGTAAGGTACCACCACCTGCTGAAAGTTAGACAGAAAAAGAAGTGAAGAGTCCAGAAGTAAGACCAGAGTGATTACAACATGCAGAATAGAATTCATGATATGTGCAGGCAGTACAGATCATGTGCTGTTCTAAGGAGAGAAATTCTACTTTGTGGCTGTTGTTTTTCAGTCTTGGGAAAATGCAAGTCAGTACGACTGGAAGACTTTTGATGCCCTAAGACTTTTCTTCACAGAGACACAGTAAGGAAAGTCCAGTGGAGAGGTTTTGTCTCAGCAAGCAGTACTGGCCTGAGTCTTTATTTCACTCCCATTAGCATCCGTCTGTACCAATGGACTAAAACACAGCGTTAGTATTTGTATTTGTAAATGGAGATCTTTGTCATTTCTCTCTGCAAATATGCTTAGTCAAATAGTCCCAAAGTGAAAATCTGTAAAGTGGGGCCTTTATATAAGAGAGGATTCATTGTAAGCATTAGGAATAGCGTACTAAAATAAAAAGAACAAAAGGCTTGAAAATATTAAAATACAGCATGAGTCCAGCTTTTTCTGTTATCTGCTTTTTTTCTCTTTTGTACAGGTGCCAGGAGTATGTCGGTGCCTCTCTTGTAATGGAGGCTTACTTGCATATCAGAGTGGGCACTTGAGAAGATAAATTTTGATAATCCCATGGGACAATGACAGTAGTTGTGTATGTAGGTGTTCATTAGCCCCAGGAACTAAGAAAGAGAGAGACAAGGGTCATTACATTACTTATATGTAAACATTTGTGCATAAATGAAGGTGCTTTTTTATTTTCTCCGTTACTTTTGAAACATTTCAGCCCTGCACTGAACAATAATTTTTTATTGTTACCTTAGAAAAGATGTGTGCCTCTGTGTATAACTAAAATATTAATTCAATATGAAAATAATTGCCTTGAGAGTAGATTGCCTGGTCTTCTCTGCCCCTTTTGGAGATCGAAATATCCTGCCTTGACTTAAAGGGTGGACTTGTTACAAGCTTCAGAGGCAAGCTGTGCTTCCAGCAGCTTTCAGTGCCTCTTTTTTAATGAAAGTCTAAGGCTAGGGTGTATAAGAAAGATAGGAGGTAACGGGGAGGGAGGGAGGGAGGGAGGGGAGTCGTGGTATTGGGTTGGGTTTGCATATGTTTGCTGTGCGTTTTGCCCTGTATGCGTGCTATATCTGCAAATAAACCCATCTCTATTTTATTCATAGTTCTAATGGCAAGTCTGTGTCATGGTCTGAACCAGGTGGAAGACAGGTGCCCAAAGGTCAACATATGTGGCACCGCCTCTCTGTGCACGTGAAGACCAATGAGACGGCCTGCAACCAGACAGCCGTCATCAAGCCCCTCACTAAAAGTTACCAAGGCTCAGGCAAGAGCCTGACCTTTTCAGATACCAGCACCAAGACCCTGTACAACGTGGAGGAGGAGGACACCGAGCCGGTCCGCTTCAGCCCCCCAAGCAGCCCCTCCATGGTGGTGCACCGGCGCGTGCCAGCTGGGGTGACCACCCCGCCCCTTCCAACCCACCTGACCGCAGAGGAGACCCCCCTCTTCCTAGCAGACCCTGTCATCCCCAAGGGCCTGGGTCCTGCCCTCCAGCAACAGCCCCCACAGAAATCCCTGGTGGACCAGCTGCAGGGCGTGGTCAACAACTTCAGTCCCGGGATCCCGGACTTCAACGCGGTGCTCGCGGTCCCCGGGGGCCTGGGCAATGGGGTGCGGTCCCTGTACCCACCCCCGCCGCCCCCTCAGCACCTGCAGATGCTCCCACTGCAGCTGAGCCCCTTCGGGGACGAGCCCGTGTCCCCCCCAGCGGAGGACGAGGATGACAGCGAGCGCTTCAAGCTTCTGCAAGAGTATGTGTATGAGCGTGAGGGCAACACGGAGGAAGACGAGCTGGAGGAGGAGGAGGAGGACCTGCCCGGGGCCAGCAAGCTGACCCCCGAGGACTCGCAGGCCCTCACACCCCCCTCGCCCTTCCGAGACTCGGTGGCCTCGGGCAGCTCGGTGCCCAGCTCCCCAGTGTCCGAGTCGGTGCTCTGCACACCTCCCAACGTGTCCTACGCCTCTGTCATCCTGAGGGACTATAAGCAGAGCTCTTCCACCCTGTAGGGAGGAGGCGTCCACATGGAAATACAAGCTAAGTCAGGGAGCCTGGGCCTCCAGGGATGTGCGCAACACAGGGGGGTGAAGCTGGGCGGAGGGGCAAAGCTCAGAGGAAGAAGGGGAGGAGGTGGAGGAGGAGGCTGCCTTAAGCAAGGGGAGGACGCTGCATCTGCAAGCAAAACAAAGGGGGGCGGGGCGCAAATCCAGACAAGGGTTCTGATTCTTGAATTATTCAAAAGTTTCCCTGGGAAGAAAGGGAATTCTGACAAAGCACAATCCCGTATGGTATGTAACATTTATGGTGGGGGGCAGGGGGGGAAAAAAAGAAGATCAACAACAACAAAATCTCTTTGCACTACGCTGCAGAGATGCACATGCCCCATGCGCTTGGCCGTGCTCGAAGAGGGACAGGGCCTGTGGAGGTGCCATTGGAATCATTCATTCACCTGCAGGTGTTGATGCATTCATTCTGAGCAGAGAGCCAGAGCTGGTGGCTGCATGTGGAGCAGGCAGGGAACACCCCTCAACCCCCCCCCCACCCCACCCCAGTGAACAGAGGATGGGACAGTGACTCATTTCTCCCCAGCCATCCCCCTGCTTCGGTTCACCCACTGCGCCTGGTCCGGTGCCAGCCTTGCCATCATGCTCAGGAGGAAAGGTGCGGGAGAACCCCCGTTGCTCTGTGATTTCTCTATTAAGGAAAACAGGCAGAGAATAACCAAGAGCCTCACCAACAAAGGCTTCATCAGGAGCGTTTTGCTGGGAGGGGGAGAACTGAGACAATAGCTAAGCATTTGGCTTTCCAAAGGATCTCTCAGCCCAAGCAGGTTTCCCATCCAGGGTGCATACTGACTGGTGTGATTTTGGTAAAAGGCCAGACCAAGAGATTGTTTGGGGAGTAGCAGAAGGAAGATCTTTTGTGGATTAACTTGTGTTTGTGCCAAAGGACTTCCCATCGCCCTTCAGTGAAACGAGGACAAACCATGTGGCAAAATTGTTACGTTCCATTTACTGTAACAAATAACCCTTACCAGTTGACATTCTAAGATGCAGTATATATGTACAATGAGGTGCATCGTTTCTCTCATGTGTTACAGAAACAAGTCCATCTTTGAACTGATTGGTGTACTCATACCAACTGTTAACTAGTTTAAACGACAATTGATTCTTTCATACCATCATTGAAGCCCCTGTAATACTAAACTAGCAGGTGAATGTGTTCCTGTCCTTGTATATTTGTGACAATAAAATTTGTGCAATGTAATGTCAATCTATCTCCAACTAGAAGATTGTCTTTCAGGCCTAGTTAGCAATTTTTATGTCTCAATAAAGTTTTATATACCATTTCCACCAATATCTACAGAAGTTTCCGAAGGTTTCAGTACTCTCACCCAGTGTTGTCCATATACAGCTCAGAGGGTCATTCCTTGACCAAAAGGATTTTTCAGGTATTTTATGCTACAGGAATGTTATTAATAAAGTGGTTTGAAATCAATTCCACTAGATAACGAAAAAAAAATCTGTGGGTACCAATAAAAACATGCATTTTCTAAACGTGCACATAGTATGACTGAAAAGACAATATTTAGCTTATTTCAGACGACTTAATGTTTCTGGAACATTTTCCACAGCTACTTGTGTTTTATGTACTAACGGCATAAACTAACATCAACGTCTCATTGGAATGGCTCAGAGCTTTCTTTACCCATCCTTTTCTGCGTTCTTTAACTGTTTTTCCATGTGCCTTTTTTGGTCTGTATTTTCACGGTCATGACTTCACTTTCTGTATTTTTATTATTTTCTGCAGTGTAACGTTCATGGTCATCCAGTTGTTCTCTTTAGCACCCTTTCTCTTCGCCCTCAAGAGCTTTTTGTGTTGTTTTAATTTATACTATTATTTGTGGAATAAATCTTCTCCCCTTAAGGTTTTTGTTGATGTCTTGTGTTCAATCACATTTTTAATGTTATTCCCTCATGTTGAAGTCCCTGATTTCTCAGCCAAAATTATCTTTGTCCTTTTCAATAACAGCTGCATTGCTTGCCATAAACACAAAACCATTCAAACGCTTGAAGCCCAGAACTGCCATTTTTAGTCAATCCCATGTCAAAAACCACCTTTCTTTGAAAATACGACTTTATAACACCTTTGGTGAAAAGTAAGTCCTCATGACTGAAATAAGGATTTTGGTTCCACATTTACATTGGAATGAAGCTGGATGAGAAAAAAAAATAGGGGTTCAATGCTTACTAGACAGATTTCAACTCAAATGGAAAGTTAATAAAAGAAAAGATAGAATCTCAGTAAAAGCCTTTTTTGTTTTGTTTTGATTCTGATGCCACTAACATATGTCCTTGATGCTACAGGGCTTGTGCTTTTGGATTTTCTTTTTAATAAAAATAGATAGACAACTTCTTATTCAAATATATAAAATAAGATCTTAGTCTGTCCTGGGATTTTTATTTGAGCCATTTGGAGAACATATTAAACAATGATAATGTTATTATTCAAAATGCCTAGTTCACCTTGAATATGACTTTTCTTACATATAATGAATAACCCTGAGGGTGCTGTGGTGAAGTACTTGGCTTGTAAAGGTTGGTAGTTCAAACCTCCAAGCTATACCCTGGAAGACAGATGAGGCATCTACTTCTGTTGGTTCTACTTTGTCTCATAGGGTTGTTAAAAGTAGGGATCAACTCAACAGCAAGAGTTTTTTGGTTTATTAGCTCTTACATCATAAATGTTCAAAAAGTGAAAACATACAAACACATACTATATACCAAAAGGGCATAAACTCTTCACCTAAATATATGTGCTTGTTCAATTGTTGAGCTTCTTGTAAAAGTATTTCCTTTGGGCTCATTACTGCCTTTTGTCAAATAATCTTGATAATGCTGTACAATAAATATTTTCTATTTATTAAATGTGTGTGTTCCTTCTCTGTGTTTTGTAAGAGTTACAGGAATAGATGAATGTTATGAATAAATACAATGGATTGATTTTGCTCAGAATGTCCTGTCTGGGTTGGAGTTTGAAGGTGAAATTGGAGAGGCCCCCCTCTAGGTGAAGGTAGGTGTCACAGATCAGGAAGACAACTCTGATGGTAGAATCCAGTTTAACTATGAAGACGGTTAGATCTCAAACTTAAACCATTTTAAATGAAATGCAAAATTTACAGTGATGTCTATGGAAGATACTACCATACACCTTTTTGATGACATGTATGGGGGCCGCTTGCTTTCTAGCAAAGGTCTAGGAACAGACCCATCCACAAGGACCTCATGTCACTTCTACGTTGTAAAGTTTTCTGCTTTTAGTCTCCATTTCAGAGGAACCTGGTCTCTTTCCTTGGTGATAGCCTCCTGTCCACTTCAATCTATACACTCTACATTTCAATGAAAATTTCGCTGTTCTGAAAAACAAAGGAGCTCCATTCCTCCTTTTTCTCTTTGCCCTGGTAGTCCTGTAGAGATGTGTCTAAGACACCAGGTAAGTATCTCCAAGAGCAACAGCAGGTGATACAGAAGCTGCAGTTCATAAGTTCATAGAAAGTTTAGGTGGCAGGAAGCAGAGGATGCTGAGGTATTAGAGGTCTCTCCAGCATATGTAGAAAACAGACAGAAATGACAGCTCAGTGTCTCAAGGAGAAGTCTGATGAGAGACAGAATAAGAAGCAAAAGCCAGAAGAAAAAGAATATAAATTAAGTAAATTGATAAATAATAAAGAAGGATTTATTTAAAGTGTGTCATTTGGAGACACCCTCAAGACATTAGATAGATCATTAATGTCTATTCCATAGACCATTAAGGTCTCCACTTCATGAAAATGTGGCCTCAATAAAGAAGATTTTTTTTTTGAGGGGGGGAGATTTGGGCTCAGAAACCACAAATAGCATAAGAGTAGCTACTAATTAACTTCTGCAGAGAATACTGTGAAAGGGAACCCAAGGGAAGGGAAACCACATCCTCTATGTAGCTGCTCTACAGTAGACCAGTAGACATTGTGCTAGACTTCACATTTATTCTTCTTTAATTCCCAGTACAAACGTGGTGTAGATAGGTGATTGTTGTTGTTAGGTGTCATCTATTTGACTCACAGCCACATGATGAAGGACAGACCTGAACCTATGTCCTATCCCATATCATCCTCATCATTTCTGCATATTTGGGCCCATTATTGTTGTTTTGTCAATTTATCTAATTGCTGACCCTCCGTCTTTTTAGGGACTAACTCTTTCTAACAACATAGCTAAAGTATGTGTGAGGCAGAATTTCATCTGTTTTGCCTCTAAGGAGCATTATAGGTTAAAGAACTGAAACAACTCACCGAAAGGGTGTCGCCAGTCAGTTATTTTAGTAGGCATTCATTCAAATATCCATCACAAACTAGTATGTTGTTGTTTTTGTTGTTGCATACTGTCAAGATGGAACTGACTCCTAGCTGACCCTCCAGTGGGTTTTCAGAGGCAGGAAATCACACAGGAGGATATTGTACATCTTTCTCTCATGCAGCAGCTGGGGGATTTGAACTGTGTTCCTTTGGGTTGGCAGCATAACTCCCAACAGAAGCAATTTCATATTCCTCTCCAGAGCCTAAGAAAAATATACAAGAGTTACTCTATGTTAAGACTGCGCCTTCCTATTCCTTTAATTTCTAGTAACTTCTACAACTACATTGTATCTCAGATGCCTCTTTCTTTTCAAGGATTATAAATTCTTTTTAGCTTGACATTTTTTCCTCCCCCTGTCCCCCCACCCCCTGACTTCCTGCCTTGCATTCCTAAGCCCTCTAGACAAAGCAGGTATCCAGTGTGTGTTTGCTGGGAAAGTAAGTGAGTAATGTAAAATCATATGATTTCTCCAGCTAATTTCTCTCAAGAGTTCCCCCAAGATCCCTGTGGGGTGCAGAGTTCTCTCTCCCCACATACTGACCCTGGCTTGGCTGGCTTTAACCACATATGGCTTAAAAGCAAGCTCAACTTTAGCCTTCAGAAAAAGCTGTCA